AGAAAAGCGGAAAACAGAAAAGCATAAGCCAATCAGAACTCGCGTTGGTAGTCAATAGTTTTTGCTTTCTGCTTTTCTTGCTACCAGTGCGAGTTCTGATTGGCTTCTGCCAGAGAGGATCCTCTCTGCTTCTGCTTTTCTGTTTTCCGCTTTTCTGTCAAGGTGTGAATTCGCCCTAAGTGATTCCAGCTGTCGCGGTTGCCGTCACTGGTTTCCATATCTCATTAGAGGGCGGAATTGGGCGGAATTCGCAATTCGATCCGTTCCGTTCGCGCGGCGTGGTTCGTGCGAGAGCTTCGGAGGCTAGTCGGAGGCTTCGAAGCTTGGAACGGATTCGGTTTTGCGGAAATCCTTCGATTTTTTGTGATACATGACGGTGAGGTATCGTCGAACTCCGGCTATTATTATGAGGTGCGGACGTCCTTTCGGAATCATTCTCGGTACGGCGCTGTTGCAATTGGCGATCCTTTGAATTCCGGTGACCAAAAGACCGCGGTGTGCTGTTGAAGAACTTTGAGGATTGTCATCGTCGTTGTCGTCGTCGTCGTCGTCGTGCTTTCCTAACTCTTCCTTCCGACGGGATATCGTCCGAGCAGACTCAAATAATCCCTTCAGCCTGTTCTCGCGAACAACTACTACCTTTCGCGATGGCGAGTCTCAATGTATTTAAATGTGTTCTGCTGCTTCTGTTCGTGCTAAGTCAGACGGGTCACGGCTATAACGAGGATGTGCTTCAGTATACCCACGACAACTTTTCTGCGGAAGTTGGCAAGAAAAATCACTTCGTCATGTTTTACGCGCCATGGTAAATGAATGTGCATTTTGATCAGGGTTGGGTAGTGCCTAGCAAAAAAAGATAAAAGTTAAGTTAAAAAGTTAAATAATTTTAACTTAACTTAGTTACAATTTAGGCTCTTAACTTTTAACTTGTAACTTGCATTTTATCGATAACTATTAACTTTTGATCTAACTTTCAATCACGTTGGAAGAAGTCCTTCGAAATCGGTCCTCTTTCCGCGGCTCCATAGAAATAAGTATAACAAATATTTATTTTAGAAATTTTATTTAGAAACCCTAAAATTATAAAATGAAAAAAATTTAATTTTAACTTTTCAATTACTTTTTTTTTATTAATTTAACTTTTAATTCAATTAATTTTATTATAAATTAACTTGTATCTTAACTAAGTTAAATTTTTAAGTTTAAAGAGTTTAAATTTTAAGACTGTTAACTTTAATTTAACTTATGTTAGTTAAAAAAAATATTAACTTATTCAATCTTGATTTTGGTTATATGATCATATATAGTCATGCCTGTTCTGTTTTTAAAAATTCTGTTTCAAAAGAAATTGATTTACTTCATAACTAAAAATCAGCGTGAAATGTTTGTATATGTTTTATTGAATTGTCCAATTACAAAGTAAAAATAATTATAATTATCGAAAATGTTTACCTTTCACAAATTTCTTTGAATGACTCAATAAATTTATGCTGTCTTTGTCAATCTTTAGAGCCTTGATATTTCAGTGAGATTTACAACTTTGGCGAAAATTTTTCTTAGAATTTTTTTAGTATAAATTTTTATATTTTCTACAATAAATTTCTGAATTCTTCAGAATTTCTGATTGGTATTCAAAGTCGGTTCTTATTTCAAGTCTTAAGGAGGTTCGATAGCAAAATCAAAATATTTCAATCTGTTTAAAAATTATACAGAATATTCTTTAAAACGAAACTAATATCATATTAGAATTTTAAACCAATTAACCATATGGTTTTTAAGAAAAAAAAACTAAAATTAGAGTTTTATGCATGTGTCTTATGACAGTTGCATTACATAATTGATATATCACATAATTACATACACTTAAAATGCTTCCATTCACATAAAAATTAATAATTAGTTAGAGCAAACCTTTTTTTTTACGTTTTTGCAAAACTTGAACTCCATCCATCATATAATTTTTTTGTATACAAGAAAGTGATGAAAGTATGCCTATTTGACATTTTAAATACTAACGAGGTTACATTGCTGCTTACTTCGTCTTATGACATGTATGTGTGTTTGAATACATGTTCAATGCAACGACAAAGACAGATCTATAGGCATACTCCCCTTGCCACCTACCCCTGCAAGTAATCTAACGAACCTCCTTAAGTAATGTCTTAAGATGCTTAAACAACTCTGTGATTGGCTTATGACAGCTTATGACTATACTTAAAACGATCTCAGATATGAGAATCTACTATGAATGCTGGTCTATATAATTTTATAACTTCGAAAATTTCTCAGATTTTTTGTATAAATTGAAACACTTATTATTAAGCGTTTTTCAGTAAGAGATGACACAGTGTAACACTGTGAATTCTCTTGTTATTTGCCAATGTTAAAACAAAGATGGAACAATGCACTTTATTACACTGTATCAATTATCTATTGCTGGAAAACGCCTAGAAATGGCAGAAATACTGGAAAAGTTTGCAACTTTTTTAGAATTTTTCATATACGTGAATTTTGAAACATTCAAAGATTTCTTGTTCTATAATTTTCAACGTGAATTTATAAAATTTGAAGAAGTTTAAAATTCTTTATGTTTTATAATTCTTCATAAATTTAAAATACATAAAAAAGTTTTTAAAAATATTATGTTTTGAGAACAGAAAAGCGCTCTTCTTTATAATTTAAACAAAATGATTTAATCTAAATCTCTTAAAAAATATCAAGGTTTTGAAGTCTGATTTAATGAAGACAGCAACATTGAGATTCTGCTTGTTGCAAAAAATTAAAGTCTGTTGAAGAAATTTGTGAAACCAAAAAATAGACATTTTTAATAGTTATGATTATTTTTATATTGTAATTGTGGTTATGAGCTAGATTATTTTTATATACATATATTGTAGTTGATCAATTCAATAAAACAAGTACATTTCCTGCTTTTTATTTTAGTTACGAAATAAATCTATTTTTCTTAGGAGCAGAATTTACGGTACTAGTATTATTATTTTTTTATGTTAGCTTATTGAATGGTGGACTCCAATCGAGAATGTTCTAAGGTGCGGTCATTGCCAAAGACTTGGTCCCACGTGGGAACAGTTGGCGATCGTCATGGAGATCTCAACTGAGGAGGACAATATAAGAATCGCCAAGGTGGACTGTACGACTGAGAGCGTTTTATGCAGCGAGCAAGATGTTACTGGCTATCCTACGTAATATACGTTTTTGCTGTCTAACTTTTCGTTCGAAACATTCTTTTCAAATTGATTTTTAATTAACGCTACGATTATATCTGTGATACTAGATCTTTACATGCATATACACACGCACACGCATACGCACACACACACACACGCACAAGTATCTGTAAATTATTTTGAAATTGTATTATAATCACACATAACATTATAATGTCTTGAAAATTTTTGGGAACATAGGTTGAAGTTTTACAAGGCTGGAGAAACCAAAGGCATCAAGTTTCGAGGCACTCGAGATTTACCTACATTGACTTCTTTTATTCATGATCAGCTAGGTAGTTCTGTGGTGTGTATGATTTTTGTTGTGTTGTATTGAATTCCGTGTTACTTTGCTTTTTTTTGAATTGTTAATCATTTATTTAAATTGTCGTAATCTATGTGTTTCAGGTTGAAGACGTCGTGCCGTCTCCTCCGGAAGCGGTGAATGGATTATTGGAACTAACGGAAGATACGTTTGAGAAGCATGTATCTTCCGGACATCATTTTGTTAAGTTTTACGCTCCCTGGTGCGGTCACTGCCAGAAATTAGCTCCAACATGGGATGAATTAGCCAATAGTCTTCGCAACGATGACGCAGTCAGTATTTCTAAGATAGATTGCACACAGCATCGCAGCATCTGTGGCCAATTTGATATTAAGGGATATCCTACGCTGTTGTGGATTGAAGACGGAAAAAAGGTATCGATTGAATTGATGCTTTTTTCTCACGAAAAATATACAGAATGTCCCGAAATTCGCGAATCAAAATATTATAGCAAGAAAGTCTTCGAAAAATTAAGTAAAAAAGTTATTTGTAAATTTTTATTTTAAGCAGTTTTAAGTAGTTTTTCAGATACAAGAGTTTAAGGATGTTTGGTACCTACAATAGTAGCAAAAAGTTAAAGAACTGATTTTGACGAATATGCTCTTCTCACATTTCTATAATTGGCTAAATTTAAACTCATGTCTCAAAAACTACTGCTTAAAATAAAAAATTACAAATAACTTATTAAATTAATTTTTCAAAAACTTTCTTACTATGATATTTTGATTCGCGAATTTCGGAACGTCCTGTAGTTATTAAAAAAAAAAACTTGATGGAATTTAATGGAATATAAATCTCTAGATAGATAAATATACCGGCCAGCGTACTCACGAAGAGCTGAAAGCGTATGTGTCGATGATGCTGGGTAAAAATGCCGACGAGTCGAGCCGGAAGAGCGACAATACTGACGGAGCACCGAATGCTATATTGAGCCTAACGGCCGATAGTTTTAAGCAAGGTATTGAGAAGGGTCTTTCATTTGTCAAGTTCTTTGCACCCTGGTGCGGACACTGCAAACGCTTGGCCCCTACATGGGAGGAACTCGGCAAGAAGTTCTTCGGCAATGACAACGTGAACATTATCAAAGTTGATTGTACACTCGACGTAAGCAAGCAATTGTGCAATGAACAGGAGGTGGACGGTTTTCCGACATTGTACTTATATCGTAACGGACGTAAGGTTTCCGAGTACAATGGCTCGCGTAATCTCGACGATCTGTACGACTTCGTGATGAATCACTTGAAAACGCACGACGAATTGTAATCTCGTATGTTGGATAAAGCGCCGAGATAGGTCTCGTAATATATTCCCAATAGTACTTCGAATAATCGAATTAAGTTAGGACGCATGACGTATCGATTTTTCATTGTCAAGTGGAAGCAGAAGCGGTAAGTTTTTCATTTTTATACACTATACATCGAGAGAAAAAGAAACTACCATATATATATATATATATATATAGAATGTAATATACCAGAATGTAATCTCGTGTCAAACAAAGATGTACTTCCAAAATATATCTATTTATTGTCTTATCTCTTATTTTGCATTTGTATGTATTCTTATTTACTCCTGTAGACAGTTATTAGTGGGGCTATAAAATTTATTGAAATCTAGATATGTAAGATGAAAAAAAAAGTTGATCTCGTTCTTTGAATACACATAATGCAAGCATTGGTTGATTTCAGAAACAAGAATAGAAATTAATTCTATAGTAGTTCTCAACATGTAGCTTGTATTTATTGCGTGCTTTTTGTAAACATCGAAAGATTTCTGATAACTAACTATTAATGGATATACGTATATACATATATATGTATATATATATACATATATGCATATGCTACATTTTTATGAATCTTATAAGTAACATGATAATCCTGTATTTTAATTATCCTTTTCTATATCATTTACTATTATAACAAGCTATATTGCAAAACGGTCTTGTGCAAAAGCACATTATCAATGGTAAACACTTTCATTAAGGCGTTACTAAACGGATCTAGCACCTTCGTTCAATTCTGATTGTTATCATTAATTGTTAGTAATATTAACAATCTTAATCGAAAAAATATATGTCGTGTCGATTCGCAATGTAGATATACGCAACCTAGTAACATAAATGTTGCTGACATTGGAAGACGAACGATTCGTTGAGCCTGGCTGTCTGAATTCGGTACGATTATTTTGCAATAAAATCATGTTCACTTTCCGTTTCTTTTTTTGCGTGGGCCTTAACAAGGTTTACAATAAGACACACTGAAGTTCTCGCTATCGATGATGCGGTACTGATAATTTTTGTAGGTAGTGAAGTCTACATCGCGCATCTGGAAAACGTGGTCCATGATCTTCTTGATCACCGGTTGGAAGCCTATGACATTCGCAGCCGTCGCAAGGTCGTCGTAGTAAGCCCACTGTCTGTCCTTGAATTTGTTGATGTGCCTCAGCTAATGGGGATAAAAACAATTATAATTTGACGTGATCTTTCTCCTGATGAAAAAAATTTTTATAATGTCTCAAATATGAAAATATTTTTTTTATATTTTAAACCTATTTATTTTAGTAATTTAATATTTTTTCGTAGTTATGAAGATTTCTGAAAAATATCTTAAATTTCTCCATATATTATAAGTTCGTTGAAAATTATAGAATGAGAAATCCTAAAGCATTAGAATTCACATGTAAAGTATTCTAGAGAAGTAGATTTCTCAAAGCATTTCTGAGAAGTGTTCCAATTTATACCAAAACATTTAAAATTTTCTAAAAAAGTTATAAAATTATTGATACGGTATAATTCTGCAAAAAATTCTGAAAATATTATATGAAGAATTCTAAGAAAAATTTTCCAGGCTGAAAGAACATAATAGATTTATCAAGGAACAGCAGTGTCTCACGCCAAGTATACACGCCTGTATATAGCATTGAGACCATCCCGTGTATCTTTATTTGAATTAACTGTCGAGTTGAACGAAAACAAGGTGGTTATATCTAAAAACGATTAAATGGATGAAATTTTAAATAAATTCAGTCGATTGCTTGGGGTCATATAATTATATAATAAAAGTCTTTATTTTTCTTTTTTTGAATATTAAGAGTTTTTTTTTACTTTTTAAAAAGGTAATTTAATTTGTACAGATTTGAGAAATGTCATCGTCTCGTTGCGTTGTCCGGGTCTCCGGTTGTAAATCGACTTTTAATACTCTCATATACAAACTTCCAAGCACCCTTTACACCCATATTCATCTCCACCTACGCTATTCACACGACCTCTTTTCAATCTTCTCTTCCCACCTACTGCAAACTTCAATACACCTTGCACGTTTCGATATGGCTCACCCATACACATCACTTCCACCTTTATTCTCCTAACTCCCACTCTCTATCCCCAATCCCAACTTTAATACACGTCCCCCCAAATCATCCCGACACGTTTCAACAGAGTTCAACACACCCTTACTCAAGATAAAGTAAATGACGCCAGTTCTTTATCTTTTATTAAATACCCTGTTCAAAAAAATCATTAGAAAAAGGTAGAAAACGATATGATCGTTTTTAATCGTAGTTATGAACCGTAAAAGAATTATCATGAGTATAAACAATTCATTTCGATAACGTTTTAATCATTTATTTATAATAAATTTCATCAAAACGGTATAAAACAATAAGTTATCATATAATTTATCGATATTTTAACGATTAAAATTGCTTTTATTAGATAATGATAGAAAACGATAGGAAATAACATTTCTTTTGGAATAGAAATAGTGAAACGATAGATACGATAGGACACGATAAAATATTTGACAGATCCTATCGATTCTTATCGTTTTCTATCAATTTTTTTAAACCGGGTACTTAATTACGCCGTCCGTACAAAAGATTTGATATCAAAAACTAGTACCAAGTTTGTAGTTGTCAATAAATTCAAGAGACACGGTAATGTCTCACGCCAAATACTTTACGTGCTCGTACACGACAGTGAGACCCGTTTCTAATTGATTTTATCGATAATTGTAGATTGACGCTAGTTTTTAATCTTTTATACGGAAGATGCGAATACTTAATGGCGCTGTTTTTTACCTTTTATTTTAAGAAAGTAATTTTGTACAGATATTTCTCTACTATCGTATATCATGTATATGTATCGTCTTTTCCTAAAAGAATATACCAATCTATCACCGCTCCTCAAACTATAATCTGCCTTCTGTTGCGAATCTCGTAGAAATTAATCGTAAATCTTATACCGGAATGCCTTGGTCCAACAGAGACTTCTTCTCGATTTTGTATTCCTCGCGCATCTGTTGCGACGACGGCAGCTTGATGCGACCCTCAAGAATCCCGAGGACGTACTGCGCCTGGACGTGGAACATTGGGAATGGTATCACGAGCGCGGGTAGGCCCATGAAGAACAGATTTGTGTAGTCCATGTGTACCAGATGCTTGTAGATGGGCTCTACGTGATCATCGTCCGTACGTATCTCGACTTTAGCCGACATAAAGGGATACGTGAATTCGTAACCTGAGATTAAGAGGAATCATTGTGTGGTATATGAAACTATTATGAGCAGTAAAAATCAATTCTCGAATGGAATGCCAATATTTATTACCGGTACAGTATATGAAATCGTCCACTTCCGCCGTGGAGCCGTCGCGAAAGATGAAGATGTTTCCCCTTACGGACTCGACGCCAGGCCTCTGCTCGACATTGCTTAACGTCGAGTCGAGCTGTTCTGGCAGATTATGACTCAGATATATCTGGAATTACCGAGGGAGATACAAATGATTAAAAAGATCGTGTCGAATCGTTCATTTACAATCTGTACTATTTTTACGTGACGGTTTTTAAAGCGACGTCTACAATGAGATTTAAGACTTAAGAAAATTGATCAATCACAATAGATTATTCTTCTTACGTGAGATGAATAATCGACTATGGTCAATTTTCTTAAATCTTAAGTCTTAAGTCTCATTGTAGACGCCGCATTAGAATTAGAACTTGACTGCGACGTGTGATCTCTGCGGTTGCAGAAATGTCTCATGGAGACTCGAAAATGACCTCGCACAAATCTTATTGATCAGTTTTTGGTCAATGAACCAAAAGCATGGACCAAAAGCATTATCTTGAATAAGCAAGAATCATTATCCAATCTTCTTCATGCTTAATGACAAGAGCTCCAGCATCATATTGTCCAATTCTGTCGAAAAAAACATTTTTCCATCACACAAAACTAGTAGTAGTACCATTACCAGGATTGAATTCAGCATAGCACGTGGGGGAAATCTTTTTAAGTTTATACGTGCTCCCAATGCGTGACAGAATTAGACGACGATTTTTGCTTATGTAAGATAATGTTCATGCTTATACGATACAAAATATAATTCACTTTCTCAGGCCATATCTCGTTAAATGATATTTCAATCCTTGATCACCTGTCAATGAGTCCAAATATCAAATGCCATCGAATATCTATAACATAACTCTTGGATAACGACTGCAAAGTCTAGAAAGATCTCTTGTAACATTGGAAACATTGGAAGACGCATATCGATGGTTTTGGAATAGTATTTTTAAGAATTGATCGATATGAAAGAGAAGTGCCAAGAAGTAATGAAACAAGAGAATAATATATTATACGTTTCTAAAGTTCGACCTTCTTGATCCTAATTCGTCTTAGTAATGCCAGTAGAACTTGACATATTTTTTTCTAAAAAATTTTTTTAAATGCAATGAAACGATGAAAAAAATTGCAGATCAATTTTTAATAAACTGTTTTAAACAGCAGGATTTAATTTTCAAATTTGTGCTAATTCGAGTTGTAGAAAAAATTTTTGCAACACCATAATGCTTGACTTTGTAAAATTTTCACGAGATTGAAATCTTTTTTAAATTGTCCGTCTCACTTCCTAAGTGATAAAGCATCTTCGAGAAAAATTATTATTAGGAGATGAAAGAAAGTTTGATCTTTAAAATGAGGCATTTCTTATCAGCAAGATTATTTACGAAGTATGATTTTTATTACGAAGAATGAGCAGTACGATTTTTTACGAAGTTACAATAATTAAGAGATGGACAATTTTTTGCAAAAACTTATTATAGTGATCCTTTAATTTTGTTGTTAAGCATACTTTATTATAATGTTTTGAAAAGCTCTTGAAGTAAGTTACAAGAATATGCAATAAAAAAATAAAGGATTCGACTTAAAAAATTCAACTTATTCTTTATACATATACATATTCTTGTGGACTCCACTCAAAGTCAAACTCTTGTCATCGTTAGGCACATTTTATTTAATCCTCTATAATTTTTTTCTTACATATTTTTCGCTAGAGTTAATCATTTCCGAAATATTTTAGCATTTTCGGATTTTCTGAGGACTGTATACATATATGTATAATATAATATTATATACATATATTATACTATATATATATATATATATAGTTTCTTTTGTAAAAACGGTGTTAAATTAATGAATTTTTATTTTTAAACTTCGAATGACTGTAACACAAAAACTGTTTATTATTACGAATTTTGACCACTTATTGATTAGCATGAAAAGAATTACAACATACATTAAAATTTCATTTCATTCAACCGAAATTAAATTTTCATGTAAATAAGATTTGTGCGGGATTTAATTGGTTGTCGAAGTATTATACCAGGAAAGTGTGACTTTACCCTTGTCGAAGATGATAATTAATAGCATAGGAATTTATTATGTGCTGGCGTACTTTATTGGCGTATTGCGAAACTTCCATAGCGATATCGATGCCGGACCAGGACGCGCCGAGTATGCAAACCTTCTTGCCGGCGTAGATTTCTGGCATTCTGTATTGATGACTGTGAACGCATCTACCGCGGAAGCTTTCGATGCCTGAAATACGTGGAATCCGACCGACACTGTAATGACCGTTGCACAGCACGACGGCGTCGAAGGTTTTTGTGACTTGCACTTTGGTTTCCAATGATTCGTATGTCACTGTCCACAACATCTGTCCATTTCTCGTAGTTTCTGGTTCTACGTGTTTCACCAGGGTGTTGAACTGAAACGTGACTCGAAATAAAATCATGTTAAAAAAAGAAAATAAGTCGTTTTAATTTACTACTTATACATTGTCGAAATTAGAAGTGTTCTTATGCACATGACAAGCTTATATTTATTTATATACAAAAATATATTTATATACATATATGTATATATTTAATATACATATACAGAATGAAGCAATAATTGTTATCACCTCGAACATCTTCACAACTAGAGTAAGAGAAAAATTTATAATATCTAACAGAAATTATGTAGTATAACAGAAGTGATCATTTTATGATGGTAACACTTTTCTAGGTGGAGTAGTTTTAAAGATCTAAAAGTCATCTTTATTTTTTTAAATGGAATTGTATAATTTTGTTAACATAATATGATTCTTTTAGCTATTTTGCATATAAAGTATCAAAGTAGAGTAAGTAAAAAAAACAATAGTTTTTAAAGAAATTTTATTTAGCATATTTTTTTATATGGAATATGAAATATCTTAATTTCTTGATATTTTTAATATGTAGAATAATAAACTATAATAAAAAAAGTCATATTATGTACAAAACCATATAATTTTATTTAAGAAATGATAATAACTTTATGTGATCTTGAACAATTTTTTCAAAAATTGATTTAACTATTATTTGTCTCCCTAACTTGTATTTGAAAATATGTTTTTAAAAACGTTTTCTTTTCGAGATAATTAGCTCATCAAAAATAAAATAATTACAGGTGAAACTTCGGTAACGTTGTTATAAGATTAACAAAGAAACGCTTTTATACATATATATATATTTTTTCTTTTTGTGTTGTTTTGTGTACGTTTAAAAAAATATGTTTAACTGGTTTAGCAGAAATGGAAAAACGAATATATTTCGGCTTAATCTTCGGCTTAATAAGAATACAAAAACTTACTTTAATGTAAGGATAGAGATTGAAGTGTTTTGCATAGCTTGTGAGGTATTCTCTTATCATGCTGTGGTGAACGAAAGAGGGGCCATCCGGATTTTTAAAGGGAAAGTCAGGTATCGCCATTATTTCCTTCGGTATGTTTGTTCTGTAAGAAAAACGAGAACAACGTTTGTTCTCTCAGATGATTCTCGTATTGAGATGATTACGTGCAATTTTTATTAATTTTTATACGTCGCGGAGTTCAGAAGATACGATGACCCGTAACCCAAGAATGGCGATAAACAGAGTTGTTAGTTATTGGCAACTAGTCCAAAATAAACTTTAGTCTACTTTGGACTTTATTCAATAGACATAGACATAATAGGTCCAAAATAAGTTCTAATCTATTTTGGACTTTATTCAATAGACATAGACATAGTGAGAAAGATATTTTCTTTGTCTTCCTTGCTAGAAGTAATTAGTTGAATCGACGTTGATTCGTTCAATCATTTCTAGCTGGGTTGTAAACGTATATTCTATAAAGCAATGAAACAATGTTTTTAGAAATATTCCTGATTCTTTCTATTTTTTTTTTGCTTGTATTATTCGAATGTTATTTAGCTGAAATTAAGTTGGTTATCGAAGATACGCGGGAGAAAGTTGACAGTAATATTGCTTCAGAACTTGGATTCACATTAATATATGAACGATTATACAGATGAAGCAGATAAGAAAATTACCCGAATGCAAGTAGGAAATCAAATTGAACATTTGCATTCGTAATTGTTGCCTACTTCGATCGATTTCTTATAAAAGATATCTTCGCAAGAGTCCTTGAGTCTTCTGCATTATCTATAGCTTACATTGCTATACACATTGCAGATCGCTTTTGTTATTCAATTTATCGTGTATCTCCTTTCCGGAACTGGTCATTCAGAAATCGATCTTCTCGTTAATTATGTCATAAAGTGTATCGTGTGTCAAGCAAAGTTTATCGTGTTAATGCATTAGACCGGGTGTTTCTCGTGTACATGTGTGCGACCGGGGACGATATATTTATTGCCAGCTGCGATCGGAGGAACGAAGGCATCTTATTACCTTCGAGCATTGAAAAAGAAAAGAATTTGATGGACTTCGTTGTCATTCAATAATGTAATTTTACTCACCAGAATGTACGCTCATTTGTTGCAACAATGACACAACTCAAAAAACAAAGTTTACCAAAAAATGGATTTGAATGTTTTGGATTATTGAAATTTTGTAAAATACATATCATTTGCCATTTCGATACCTATACTAACTGATTGTAGAGAAATAAAATTGTGTACTTTTAATTTTAAAGTATGTTTTTTTTATGCAAGCGTTCTTTTTTGCAAGCTAAAAAGAGACAATAGATAAAAATTTAGAGGTTGTGAAAGAATACACGATGTGTAACATTTTACACAGACGTTATGATGTCTGGGAATGACGACCTAGCGGTATTCAGAAACTTGTCGGAATTCAAAAATAATTATAATACAAAATCTTCTTCAAAATTTTAAACACTGTCAGATTCAGAACTATAATTGTTTTGATATTATGATGAATCGAAGATTTTATTTATAATTTCAAGCATTGACTGTAATTATAGATACATTATGACACTATATAATAAAAGATTTACGTTCATGTTATTTTAACATATTAATTTGATCAAATAATAAGTAGGAACATTTGTAAGTCGAAATTATTTTTAACTAATGATGACTTTATTGAGGTTAAAATGTTTGGAATTATTTATAATGATATTTGTCATTATTTTATAAACGGTATTTTATAAGCATATAATTTAGCATAAAAATTTTGCGATCAGGCTTTGTATGCTTTCTTATTATTATATTTATTTATATTATAAGCTTATTTGTTATTTTAAAAATGCCAATTTTTTAATTATGTCGTTATTGTAACAAATATCCGGTAAAAAATTTTCATATAAGAACATGCATATATAAATACATATAAACAATGCGTAATATGTCCATACATATTCAGATATGTTTCTTTTCTTCGTAAAATTATTTGGTACAAGAAAAATGATAATAAATAAGAAGAAAATAAGAAATAATTAAAAGAATAACTTAGGAATAAATGTATTAAGACTATTAAGTGTAAGTTCATAGTATCTAATAATTAAATTAACAACATCTGATATAGCAATAAAGACGTTGACCAGAATAGATCTCTTTATGATTGGAATCTTTGGATTGTCTGTGACATCGATATAATCATGATGTAAAAAGACACATATTTATTAATAAGTTATATCTTATTTAATTTAGACATTTATTACAAAAGTATAGAGTCTGTGGAGAAATATTTATAGAAAATTAGCAACATCCCTATACATTATAGCTATGGCAGATGCTACAGCTGTGTGTGATGAATTTGGATAGATAATATCCTCTGATATAAGTATGTGATCGGTGACGCAGAAGTTCAAGATTTAGTATACGATAGACAAAATGTAAAATATATTAATGTTTTATATCCCATTTAAATGCTAATTTACATGCCTGTAATACATTATTGAGAATTGTATCACGGCATTAGACATACTGCAAAGCCAGTTATAAGCCCAGTTTTCAACTGAAGAACCTACATCAGAATTATTTTTGCATGAGTTACCGAACAATATGAGATAACAGCAGCTTGAAATTTAAAGTTTACGTAAACAGAATGCGGAAATTCATATATATGTATATTTGACATATAAATTTAAATTGTTATAATATTTTACATTGATAGATACAGTCGAACCTCGAAAATCTCTATAAGACGAAAATTTTGTTCATCCCCTTTCGCTCCGCTTCGGAAAACTTCTATAAATCAAAATAAAACCTATTTTAACTCGAATTATTTGTCAAGCATTTAGATATTTATTTTACCTCTGTAACTTAAATTTAAAGTAGCCAGATCTCTACAAGTCGAAGTTCATCTCTATAAGTCGAACTTCCATTGTCGCTACCTCTAATTCGAAATTGTAGCTATGTGTAACCGTGAGTAATAGCCTGGTATTTTGTTTTATGGTTACATTTATCATATGTATGCAATAAATAATCACTGTTAAATATTGATTTTTTTCCTTTAAAAGCCATTATAATTGGAAAATTATAAACTTTCGTACAAAGCCTCCGTAAGTCGAATTTTCATATGTTAACCCTCTTTTACTCGAATTTCGATAAGTCGAAAATTCTATAACTCGAACAATTTTTCTAGTCCCTTGAGATTTGAGTTATCGAGGTTCGATTGTATTTTCTTTGCTTATCTACTCTTTTTAATATTACAAGGAATATGGCAGATTGCTTCTCTTAATTATTACTCAGATTATAGCTGACCAGTAAAAAATTTTTCTTCTAAATACATATAAACATATATAAAAATATATAATTATTTATAATTATTTATAATTATATGCGTAATATGTCCATACATATATATCCATATACGAGGGCAAGGTGAAAAGTTCTCGGCCTGACGTATAGAAATAGCATCGGAGGTATCAAATGGCTACGATTTTTCTTAAGTTTGATTCTTCAGAGACCTACCGAAAAAGTTTCAGGCGGTTAATATAGTTTGTCTCTCGAGTCGAGTAAAGCAAACAAGTTTTGGTGTTTCTCGAAAAATGGATAAAATCGAATGTCGCGCAGTGATAAAATACTTTATTTTGAAAGGTTTAACGCCAATGGAAAAAACGAGATGGATTCCACTTTGGGAGACTCTTTATCATCG